GAAAGATCTTTCTGCTTATGGCTGCTGATAGCCTGTTACCCCCACAGCAGTCCTTCTGAGTGCTGTCAGATTGTGCCCCTCCTGCTTGCCACCTCCACTGGCTTCATTCCCTGGTCCACACAGCTGTGCGTGGTTGGGCTCCTGCTGCCACTGCAGCCTGATGCCCCTCGAGCCCCTGAGCCCAGCCACACTGGCTGCCAGCCACTGCCCCCACAGGCCTCGCTCTTCTTGCCTATGACTGCTTTTTGGCTTCCTTTCCCCCACCTAGACCACCTGGTGGATGGAAGAGTTTTCCTTCAAGAGTCAGCTGAAGTAGCACTGTCAGGGTTGCTATCTCTGAGTGAAACGCTACTGCCAGCCCTTACACAGACTTAGCCCTCCTCTCTGCTGGCTTCTCTGAGCACCTGTGGCTTACAGCCTCATAGTGCTATAGCCCCCTGCCCACCCCACCCCCTCACACACATATGAACTCCTCAAGGATTCTGGCTAAACATCCACAATCATCAGCGTCTGTCTCAGAACCTGGCTGGCCTTGCTGGCTACCAGGTGCTTAGCCCAGGGCCCCACAAATGAGACAGGTGCTACTTTATGACCATTTTACAGATGAGGATCCAGGGTTTGGAGTGGGTTAACCATGTGCCCACAGAACTGGCAAATGGCACTTCAGATCTTTCTGATAGCCTCACGGAATATCCTCTTGTGATGTGAATTGCATGCAGTGTGACCTCTTGGATGGGTCTGTAGGGACTTGGCCAGTCCCACTGTCTGTGCAAGTGGAGTGAAGTGGGGCTTGCAAGCTCTCAGGACCCTGGAGGCTGGGCCTGGGTGGGACAGCCTGGTGGCCCTGTGTTGCCAGTCAACCAGACCTCTCTCGGCTCAGTGCCTCCCTGCTGGCAGGACTGCTCATTTTAAAGGGAGGCCAGGAGCCTGGATTTTGTGCAGAAATCTGGTGTTAATGTTTTTGAACATTACTCAGGCCACAAAAAACATACCTGGGGGTCACTTTAGTCCGTGGACCTCCGTGAATGGCTTGCGCTGAAAATAGTGGGATCGTGTTCACCGGAAGATTAGAAGCCGACTTATCCCCACAGGGGAGCCCATCTGGACAGCACTGCTAGAGAAAGGCTGACTCCATTCTGAGATATACAACAACCCCTCCTTAAAAATTCCAGAAGCAGCAGGCACATTTGAAAACTCAGACATTTAAACACAACTAGGTTATTAGATGACATCAGCATGGCATCATTAATTTTGTTAGAGGTGATAATGGCACTGTACGTAAATGGGAAAATGTTTTTAATTTTTTAGAAATATGCATTGGAGTTTGAGACCAGCCTGAGCCATAGTGAGACCCCGCCTCTAAAAATGGCTGGGCATTGTGGCAGGCACCTGTAGTCTCAGCTACTCAGGAGGCTGAGGCAAGAGAATTGCTTAAGCCTAAGAGTTTGAGGTTGCTGTGAGCTGTGATACCAGGGCACTCTACCGAGGATGACAAAGTGAGACTCTATCTCAAAAAAAAAGAAAAAGAAAAATACACACTGAAGTATTTAAGGAATGAAATATCACGATGACCATAATTTACTTTAAAATACCTCACCAAAAAGGTAATATAGGGAAAGGGCTGTGACTTTATTCAATGAAGGATTATGGGGATTCATTATAATTTGTTCAGCTTTTTGTCATATTTAAAATTTTTCATAGTAAAAAAGTAGGGAAAATAAAATACCACAGTCCCAGGAAAGACTTTAGCCTTCTATGACTTATTCTGAGATCTTCCCTTTGACTGAGCTGTGCAGCAGTCCAGGTGGGGTGTCTGACACTTCAGGGTCACAGTGAGACCCAGGGAGACGATGTCAGGGTGGCATGGGGAGGCAGGCAGCCCCTCCCACCTGCAGCTGCCTTGAGTTTCGAGACTTTGGGCAGGGTCCTCACCAGTTGTGAGCTTCAGTCCCCAGCCTGTGAGGGTGCGGTGCCAGGCAGCTGCTGAGGACAGCACGTAAATAGAGAGCTGACAGATGCCATTACTTGTTCTGAGCAACTCAGGTAGAAATTGCTGGGACACCAGCAATTTCTGGGTTGGGTTTTTTTTAGATCAGGACCGGAATTCAGTTTCCAGAGACCAGCTATCATGAAGAATGAAGGCTTAGAAAGGATTTGGCGTCCCTCCAGGCAATAACCCCTGCCTCTGCCAAGTAGTCTTGGGGACTGGGGTGAGAAGAGGTGCTAGCCAAGCAGTGATGGGCAGATTGACTCATGGGCACCATCCTCTGGCCTTCATGGGGGCGGGGGGGGTCTTCCCAGTGCCTTGTAGCTCAGCCTCTCCCCACATGTAGCAGGAGGCCCATCTCCTCTCTCCTGCCTGGTGCCCTGTA